CACTCACTCTCACACACACACTCACTCTCACACACACACTCACTCTCACACACACACTCACACTCACTCTCACACTCACTCACACACACACACACACACCTGCATCATCAACTAACTGCATTGATGGTATTCAAGAAAAGAAAAGCTAACACTTTAGTAGAGGGAACAATTCTCACTATTAACTAGTTGCTTATTAGCATGCCTATTATTAACATAACAGTTGTTTATTAGTACTTATAAAGCACATATTCTGCATGAGCATAGTCTACATCCCTAAACACCTAAACTTAACAACTACTGTACTCACTATTAATAAGCAGCAAATTAGGAGTTTTTGAGGCAAAAGTCGTAGTTAATGGTTTGTTAATAGCGAGAATTGGACCTTAAAATAAAGTGTGACCAAACATAAAAAATTTAGTCATTATTTAATATTGTTAATTTATTATTAATATTATTTTTGTTTTTACAATATGTTTTCTATAATTTTTAGTTACATTTATTGTAATGCTACTTTCAAATTTCAGTTTAGTTTTAGTTTCAGCAGTAACTTATTATTTTGGTTTTTATTTCATGGACACATTTTTATTTTATGTGTCTTATGTTCTGTATTTAGTTAAGAAATCCGTTGAGGTCTTAACTGATCATTTTCAGAATTATTTAAATTAACTTTTAATTTAAGATTTACTGTTTACACTTAAACAAGCCAGAGAAAGCTGTTCAATATTTGACCAGTTTGCCATTTTTATTTAACTTTAGTTTTAGTTTGCATCATTATTATTGTTGTTGTTGTTAGATTAGTTAGTCAAAAACTCAAGCACACATTTTTCCCACTGAGAAATTTGGGATTGGTAAGGTTTTGTCTTCGTCTCTTTTAGTCTCCATTCTTCAGTGTCACATGATCCTTCAGTAATTTAATAAGCTGATTTTTGATGCTCAAGAAACATTCTTACTATCTTATTACATCTTAATATTGTGCATGTTTTTGAAGTTAAAAAGAACAGCATTTATTTGAAATAAAAATGTCAAAAATTATAAATGTATTTACTGTCACTTTTGAAAAATTGAATGTGTCCTTCCTGAATAAAAGTTTTTTTCTAAAAAAAGAAAGACCCCAGACTTTTGAATGGTAGTGTAAATTTATTGTAAATGCAACTATTAACACCAAAACATCCCTAATTTAAAAGCTCAAAATAAAAAGTTAGTTTAATTATAAACCATTTTAACTGATTACTCCCCAAAACAGCAGCTAGTGCCTCAGAACCTCTCACCATCAAAGTAAAAAAGGAGACAAAAAATGAGTAATAAATAAGATAAAATAAATGAATAAATACAATAAAATAAAAATAGCAACAGCAGACAGTATTTCTAATATTAATGATAATAATTACAATTATATACAATGAAGACTGTCAAATAAAGCAAATGCATTAACCATTTCGTATAGGGGTGTGTTTGGTGTATACATATTTAGCAGCTAGTTTGACTGCCGTCATCTAATATTAATGATAATAATTACAATTATATACAATGAAGACTGTCAAATAAAGCAAATGCATTAACCATTTCGTATGGTGTGTTTGGTGTATACATATTTAGCAGCTAGTTTGACTGCCTCATATGTCTCATCCTCTGAGTATATAGCGTAGTTTCACTGAGTCATACAGAGAAGAAAATGAACAATTCAATACTTCAAATTGTGGAAAGAATATTTGCCTTGTAGTGGTGTATTTGGGGCAGACAAGAAGAAAGTGTTTCTCATCCTCTATTTGATTTAAGTTACAGTGCTTGCGTAGTCGCTGAACTCTCAGCATCCAGGACATTTTATGTCTTCCTTTTTCTATTTGTAAGTCGTGGTCGCTGAGTCGATATTTTGAAAAGATTTGTCTTTCTTTTAATTGTTTGATTGATAAGTAATTTGCCAATTTGGTGGTTCTATTTAGGGCCGAATAACACTGGAGTTTGGTTGGGAGGTCAAATTCGTTTTTTAATTAAACTTTAGATTTTTGCCAATGTCTTTATGAATGTTGGGGTTGTGGTTGGAGTCAGACTCGGCTTGAGTTTCTTTCATTAGTTGAAGCACAAGTGTGTTTAGAGGATGAGACACTGTGGGGGATTCATTGGCGAGGAGGGCTTTATATTCAATAGATTCAGTGTCAGATTGACTCAGGTGATGCCTCTCTCTCTCTCTCTCTCTCTCTCTCTCTCAGGCCTTGACGGAGGAGATGGATGGTCAGAATGAGACGCTGTCATGGCTAAATAAAACCGGCTCTCAGATCTTGTCAAACTCCAGCCTGAGTCCTCAGGACAGAGACACTCATATGAATCAAATCAGGCAGATAAACATCAGCTGGAGTAAAGTACGAAACCAACTCTATAACACACAATCACAACTAATTCTCTTTCTATCTTTCTATCTTTTTTTTTAATGGCACCCTCATGTTTTCACATCTACACGGCTGTCTCTCTGGTACATTTTAATGATGCCAAATGAGACACAGACAATAGAGCGCTGCAGTGATGACATAGTTTTGTAGGCCAACCTGGAAGCAGCATCAGCCTGTGTCCCTCGACAAAAAGCCAGGATTTTTATATTTAGAATGAGCCACTTGTTAGCAAACAAGACGAGTAACATGGGGGTTTACTGGTGTGTTTCATGTCATAAAATAAAGCATGAAAATATCTTGAACCAAAAAAAGCCATTCAAAAAACCCATTGACTTCATGACAGTGGAAGCAGAAGTGCTAAAACTCATTTCTGGGTTTTGACCTACAGAAATACATTAACCCTGCTGCATTTCCACAATTAAATTATTTCGCTGAAAATATATTGTAAATCTGGACGTGACACAGGCAGTTTTCGGCTAATGCTGCTGATGTCGGAGTGGCCATATATATGTGGGTTAATCTCTACTGCTTGATGTGAATGGCATGTTATGGTGTGTGTTTGAAGGCGAGTCGTGAGCTGCTGGATAAGCTGCGTGAGGTGGAGGGTCGTCTGCAGACACGCACACCGCTGCAGGACGAGAGGAGGCTGGCGTCTTACAGCCAGTTCCAGGAGCGCATGGACAGACTGGGAGACTGGGTTTACATCAGCAGCCAGTCTCTGAGCGACGTCACACCCGCGGAGAGACAGGTCAGTCCTGGACTCACCCGCTGCATTTAAACACCGATTATATCATTCACTCACACTCATCTCATTCCAAGCCTGACTTTCTTCTGTGGAATATAAAAGATCAGGAATATTGGCAACCAAACAGTTATGGTGAACCTTTCCTTCCATTGAATGGAAAAACACTGAGACGCTACTCAAAATATTGGTACTATGAATCATTATTCAAGCATTAGTAAATAGTCAGTTCATCCTTTATAAAGCATTGTCCCAACATAAACAGTTTATAAATACAACTATAAATGCCTTGTTCTTGATTTATAAGCATATCTGTTACAAATGAGATCTAAAGGCTCAGTTATCTTCCAAACAGAATAATTAAACAAACACAACACAGAGGGATACAGAACTCAGAAATATCTATTTCAAGATGCAAAAAATGAAACTGTACATTTTAGTTATTATATATATATATAGGCAGCTTCTAAATGTTTTATAACTACCTGACCTAATCATGAATTACAGCAGGAATATGTGTTAATAAAGCATTTATTAACACGCTGAGCAACTATTATCATACGTCTAAATAATACCATTTATAAATGTACATTTAAATAGTTTATTAATCACTTTCTAAATGATCTTATGGACCATTGACAACTCCTAAATAACTGGTTTGTTAATAACTTAATTTAGAAATGATAAATTGATAAAGTATGAAATTAATAAAGTATGAAAATCCAGTTATTAAACATTATAGATATGCTTATAAATCAAGAACAGAACATTTCTAGCTGTATTTATAAACTGCTTACTAATGCCTATTAATGTTGGGGCAATCCTTTATAAAGGATGAATTGACTGCTTACTAATGCTTAACATCGAACTGTATATGTGCAAATGTGTTGTTAGTAGGGCTGTCAATCGATTACAATTTTTAATCTGATTAATCACATCCTTTTTCTGTGATTAATCGCGATTAATCGCACACTTCATGAAATTAAGCATAGACCATTTATCTTGTTTCAAATGTTTATTTTGTCATCATTTGCTATATCCAGCAAAGTAAACCAAAAGATTGAACAGCCTGGTTTCCTTTATATTAGCGCTGTTTTGGACGGATTGTTTGAATGCATTCGCTTACTGTATCATTGGACTGAAAACTTTCCCAGAGTTTAGCAGCTTAAAATGATCTGATCGCAAGCAGAGAAGCAAAATTGGGTTAAAGGGTTAGAATAGAAATTGTGCTGCAGTAATTTTGCGTTAATTGCAATCAGTTATTTTAACGCGTTAAGGATTGTAAAATTAATCGCATGCGTTAACGCGTTAACGATGACAGCCCTAGTTTGTAGATTATTGAAATATTAACTACCTCAGAGATATTTAAAAAAAGATGTATTTCATGTCAAAGTGGTTTTGGCTGACAAAAAAAAACATTTGGGAAATCATTTAAAAGAAGAGTTAGGGGGACTCAGTAAATTATCAATGATTTACTGCCATTGTGTGAATAGTACACACTCTATATACTCTAATTACTTGATTTTTAGAATCTGGTTATGAAATCCAGATTACATGTGATCAGTTACTACCCAGCTCTGTCTGTAAAGTGTTTAGTCTTTTATGTTTTGGCCTAGTTCATCCCAGTGAATCTAGAATATCGGACAATGATTAACACATTTGAACTGATCTATGTTTGTGCAGGTTCTGGAAATGTCCATGCGAGAGCAGAAGCGGGAGCTGGAGGAGCTGTTGTCCTTCTCTATTGAGCTCCAGAGGAAACAGCTGCTTTTACCACAGGAGAAGGTTTGTGTCACCCAGGGAACAAAAAAAAAGTAGAACATGTGCTGCGCTTCAATTCACTTACTTTTTATCGTTAATAGTGCAATGCCAAAGCAGTTTTTAAATGTATGAAAAGTAATGAATTTTACCTTAAATGAATTGAGCTTGATGCTAAAGCCCTGTTCACACTAGTGGGATTGATATCGTTGATATAGTTTTTATATAGATAATATTTTGAATTAGACTTTTTTTTTAATTTTAGATTTAGTAAATTTGTGGTTTTAATTATTATTTTAGTTGTTTTATTAAATTATCAATTATTTATTTAGTTAGTGATATTAATTAGTTGTATTTTATTTCGTTTTAGGTATTTTACTACATTTTGCTTTGGAAACTAGCTGCAATAAATTGCATTTATTTATTTATTTATTTTCAGTTGACATTTATTTTTAACTACAAGTGTTTATTGATCATTTTAGTTAAACCGTAATTACCCTGGCTTACACCAACACAAATGTTTTTCGTAGGCAATTTGTCTGTTCATACAGTGCATAATAAACGTTGTGAAGTCAAGCAGAATTGACATGATTTACTGTAAGAGTAATTATTTTTCAGATATTTGTATTTGTGATGGTGTTCATCAAACAACACCAAATGCAAGAGTAGAGATTCACTACTGTTATTCACTGTCACTTAGCAAAATACTCAGTAAAAGTTCATGAGCGTCACCAAATCCTAGTTTTTTTAAAGCAGCTGCTTTAGGCATGTGATCAAAAAACGCAAATCTTGCTGGCTTGCCAGCTTTTTTAGCAGTAGGAGTAATATAGCAGTAATTGAGGCCATAAAATCATGAGCATGTTTTGATTTAAAGGTCAGAAGCTATAGCTTGCATGAACAAAAAAATCACAAACATGACACTTAAATTAAATAATTGTATATATTAGAGGTCGACCGATATGGGTTTTTCACTGGCCGATGCCGATATTTTGAAAACAGGGCAGCCGATGGCCGATATATGATGCCGATTTTTTTGGCCGAAATGTTTGGCCAATTTTCTTCTTTTTTTTTCCCATTCATCTCATAAAAGTGAGTTTAAGCAAGTGATTATTGCAGGGTACAAGATAGTAATGGTAGTAGTAGCCCAATTTAGAGTAATAATACATGGCTCAAAACTTAAGCACCTTCTCAAAACAGTTCTGAAG